GCAGCAACCTCATCCATCCTTTTTTCCTCGCTAGCAACAAGGGCCCTCCCTAGCTCTGCAATCCTGGCATCTCGGACCTCAACCGAGCGGGCCAGATCCTCCGCGGACTTGGCGGCGGCCTTCTCTGCTTTTACCGTTGCACCCTGCTGGAGGACGAGCTGATTTTTCAGCATTTTGACTCTCTCAATCTCGTCCTTTAGCACGCTGATGCGAACCTCGCAAACTGCGTGGTCCTCCTCGAGCTTGCGCAGGGTGGCGCCGTCCCGCTGAGCCCTCTCGGTGACGTGGACCAGCTCGACCATGGCCCGCAGGGAAAGCATGGGAACGGCAGTCTCGGCAGTCGGGGTCCATGACGTCAAAACGGTCCGTGCCACCGACATCACCTACTCAGGTTGGCGGTAAGGATTGGGCAAGTCAAGTGAAACCGCCGACCTAGAGTCGATGAACCATTGGTCGGGAAAACGGCGCAGACTCTTCGCGAGGGAAGCCTTTCTGCCCGGGTTCACGGGCACGTAGGTGGTGGACCCGGCCTGGTGAACGAAAGCCGACGACTCACCGATCAGGACAGCTTTCTCCACCTCGGCTGTTTACTCCTCTTGGGAGACGGCGGAACCTCGTCCCGCGCCCTGGCTTTCGCCCCCTCTCCAGAATCCTCCGGCTCTGGCTCGTCCGCGAGGATCCGGCGTTTCCTTTGCCGTGTTTCGGCGCTCTGGCTGGCGGCGCCTTGGCCGAGGCCAGCGCTAGTATCACGGCCACCGGCCCGGCTCCCGCGACCTCCTGCTCGGCCCCCGCGGACGGAGTCCGGAGCCACCTGCCCAGAACCAAAGGGTGCTTCGACTTCCCGAGGAAGAACATTCTCGGCTACCGGGTTCGGCGGCACAGGACCCGAAGTCCCCGTCGAGCTCGATCTCGAAACTTTCTTCTTGCTTTGCTTCGTCAAAAAATACATACGACTGGCCATCTTCCTTTCCTTTAGCGAGTTTGGGTTGGCACGCGCGTGTTTGTTTGCTTCCTTCACCGAGCCGAATCCGCACTTACGCCGAAGTGGATATTATACTGAGGGGAACCCGAAATGGCCAAACAGGCAAGTAAAAAGAGGATGAGAAAACAAACAAAGTAAATGGGAGAACCCGAAATGGCCAAAGGAACGGGACGTTACCGGGCTCAAAGGACTTGCTGTTGTACTCCGGGGAAAGGCCGTGGTTGACTAGGCTCTCATCGGCAACTAGGTCCTTGAAGTGTCGCTTCTCGTCAGGAATCCCAGTAAGGTGTTGATCTTCTTGACCAGATCGTCACTCGCCTCGACGCGTTGGTTTTGGACTAAAACGCAAACACCGACCTATTAGCACGAGAGAGAACACGCAATCAGGGAAGAAAAAATGAACAAAAAATAAAACTCACATTTGCCAGAAATGAAGTGAGTAGTTGGGTTCCGGTCTGCATCCGGAGTCTTCCATTCCTTACCGACCCAGAACCACTCTAGTATATACCCATGCAGCGAGTCGGGGATCTTGTAAACCAATGACTTATCCACCCTGGGAGAAATCGAGTTGTAATAATTGCCGGTCTCCCAAAATTCTTAAAGACCAATAATGCCCTCACGTCGCCACTGGTTGGGTCGGCCCAGCCCTGCTGCCGGAACAAGACAATCAGACTGACCAGTCGGGGGAAGACGGTCGGTACTAACTAACTGATGCCGATATCGATGTCGCTGAGGATGTCGTTTAAGGCACCGGGCAGCGGAAACCGAAGACCGAACAGGACACTCGCCCGGTATACGCCGATGCAGCCCGAAGGGGGGTAGTGGATGCGCTCACCGGCATAAGGGGCGAACACTCTCACCCCGGGTCCGAAACATGCCTTACCCCTCAGCTGAGGGAGGTCGACGTCTTCGAGGATCGAGGCGGTCGACCAAGCCTTTGCCGTCGCCGACGACGCCCAGACGCGAGGGGGACGGCACCAGCACCCGGGAGGTGCAGTGGTTGCGGCTTCAACCGCAGCGCCGATCTCTGCGTCTTCCAGGCCCATGGGGACTCGTTCTCGACCGTGGTTATTACCACGTAGGGTTTCATCGACGAGGTCAGCGTCGAAGTCAGATTCGACGTTCGGAGAATCAGAGTCGGCCTCTCTCTCATCTTCCCTGTCAGTCGACGGGCTGGTGTCGAGATGGATGACCTCCGGCGGAGGTCCGTCGCAGCCGGGAGTCGCCATCGCCGGGGGCGACGACATCCGGACAGCGAAAATAGGCGTCGCCATCAGCGGGACCAAATTCGCCGCCGGCGGGGAAAACATCACCATTTCTCCTGTCTCAACCGTCGCAAATTTGTCGGAAAGGTTAACTCCGCTGGCAGATTTCACCGTAGATTCGGAGGAGGTCGACATAGTAACAAAAGGAGAAAGAAGAACTAGAAGAAAAATAGAATTACCGGTACAATAGTCGCTAGAGAAGCTCTGAAAATTGCCTTAGAAATCTTGCTCGAAAATTCTGGAAGCTCGAAATCAGAAACGGTAAAAACCCCCACGAGGAGGACGAGGGCGTATATATATACAGGCCATCGCCGATTCACGACGCGACGCGTGGCATATTTTTTGAATTTGAAAAGTAAAGCGCGATCCAACGGCCAAGGAAGATGTAATCCAACGGCTCGGGTACAATAGCGTGGACACCACGCGCTCCCAAAACCGCCGTTCGCTGAAGCGACACGCTGCTCGAAGAGAATGAATCAGACGACGACACGTGGAAAGGCTCTGAAACGGCGCGACTCTCCAAGACCGATAGTAAGCGTAACGGACACGCCGCATTAAATGACCCGTCGCTTCAGATGTAGTCATGGGTGCACGGTGGCGGAGGGGAAAACTTTGCAAAGTTAAACATACACGCCGAACTCGCACATTGTCGAGCCATGATCGGGACTGGTGAACTCAGACGTATTCCAAAACGACGACCTCACATGGGATACCAAAGGCACCCCCTCCGAGCTCGGGGGTCTGTATGTTGACATCCGAGTTCGCCCCAAAAGGAAATCAGGCGTGACCCCACCGAAAGCCAGGCCCTCGATCCGGTCCAGACGTTAAAGTACCGAGCTCAGTCCTACTAAAGGATGGGCATCGAACCCGGGTGATTTCGTTTCCGAGGGCGGCACTTCTATCGTAGAGGCGCCGACGCCGACCTCGAACAAGTGACGGTATGAAGTATGGATCTTGAAGACCAGAGGCGGGTGATGAGCTCGGGAACCGATCTGGGGATCAAGGACGGCTACCCCGTGGAAAGGCGCGGGGCTCGGTAATAATAAAATATTGCCACTTGTTGGACAATGATTTCGGATGGGACGCACCACCATGCCCCTGACAGCCTAGGGTACCTAGTCCGGCTAGAGGTCCTGCGAGTATTAAATGCTGCCCATGCTAGCATTAAATGCTCTACAGGTAATCATTAGAAGATCCACAAATTACTCACAATCAGTCAGAAGGACGCCGGCCTGTCTTTCGGGCTCACTGTGCGACAAGACAACTTGAATAGTGGAGGAACAGTGACGCAGTAAAGAACACTACAAATAGAAGTAGCCCTCATTTATTTTGGGTTGTTGAATCCTCAACGAACAGACTCCCTCTCTACTTTCTCTCTCTAGACATTTGTAATACTCGCAACTAATATCTGCAACTGTAAGAAAGGTACCGACCTCGTACGAGAGGCCGACCTCGTGATTATATAATAAACGGTGATTATTCCGTATTTTCTCTCCATCTTTCCATTTCGCACTTTCATCACATCGTATTTTAACCATTGATCGGATCCATCCATCAACAAGGTTCTTGACTGGCTCTCATGCTTGGCGGTTTGATGCAGCAAACTGGACCGGAATTAAGGCCAATTCCCGGTTCAACTGGTTGACCCATGTCCGGTCCAATTTTCAGAACCATGATTTATACTGATTAAGTTGTGTCTTTGCAGCTGCCTAAAAATATGCATGACAGGTTTAGAAAATATTCTCATAACCTATGGAAGATATTTTTTTTTCTCTCTCTATAGAAATCCTTTTCTTGTAGACCTCTTCACATAACCTTCTTAACAAACTACAAGATCTCTCCTAGGTCCAACATCTCGACCTGCAACAACTCTATTCCATAGTGGTTTGAGCATGGTATGACATCCGAGGACACTACCTCAAGCTACCTTTCAGACAATCATCTTTGTATTAACCTACTTGTACCCCAACTCGAATTAAAATTATTACTAAAAAAAACTCAACTCAGTTCACTGAGCTGGCCATATCGGATCACATATGGACCACTACAAAATGAAAGGCACATTACATTAAACTAGTACGTACCCCGTGCGATGCACGAGACAGATATATTAAATGAGTTATTTTCACAGCCTTGTCCATTTAAGTCTAAAAAATAATAGGGTTATTATCTATTTTCTACATCTTTTAATCAACGTTAAGTCTAAAAAACAATAGGAAACAATAGGGTTATTATAAGTTTTTTTGTCTTTTAACCAACGTTGTTATTTTAGCCAGAACATTAAATATGAGCATGTTAGGGCTAGCTGGTAAAATAATTAATATATTATCTCACTAAAATATTTATACTAATAAAAATTTAATTTTAGCATATAAATTTATCCCTTGATATAAGAGAAAGTAACAATTTTACTTATTGTTGTTCACCATATAATATTTAATTATTATTTTATTATATAATAAAAGGGTTTAATGCACCAAATCCCCCTGTATTATACTAAATCTGCGCATTTCCCCCCTCTAATTCAAAAATTGCGTCAAACCCCCTTCTATTAAGATTTTGCATGCTCGAAACACCTTAAACCGTCTAAGATGACAGAAGTGGCGTGCACGCGCGTGCTGTGCGGCTGTTTCTTCATCTTTTCACTCAAAGTTGCAGAATTTACATTCTTACCCTTAAAATCAACCATTTAAATGCCTTCTTCCCCACATTTGACCCTAATCTCGCGCAGCCACTCCCTTCCCTTCTTCATTTCAGCTACTTTGTTTTTTAATTGTCGCCGCCACCTCACTGCCACTACCACCATTCATTTTCTTTCTCTTCACGCTCTCGCCGGCCCTTTTCCCAATTTCATTCCTTCCCAAAAGCCCATCTCTGAAAACCTCGCCATCTGAGGATGCGAACGGATCGCCGCCGAATCCCTTCTCCATGTAGTCCATCCCCTGGAAGTGGGCCCACGACGAGGCATACAGGCGGACGCCGCCGCTCGCGGCGGTACCGCTTGCGGAGCTTCTCCATCTTGTGGCACTGGACGGCGGTCTTCGGGGGCGTGCCGGGGCAGCGCAGCGGAGGTTGTTGCGCGGGAGGGAGCACCAGTTGTCCCTATAGGCGTCAATAAGGGTCTTCGTCTCGTTGGGCGACCAACATTGGGGAGGGAGGCGACAGACGGCGATGGCGACGACGGCGGTCACGGCGGGGAGGGCTAGGGCGGTGGGGATGTGGCGGTCGTCGTCACCGCGAGGGGAGGATGAGGACGGGGACAAGATCGTGGCGGCCATGGCTGTTTCTGCAATCGACGATCTGGTGAATAATTGGAGGATGAGAGAGAAAGTGGGGAGGAGGCGGCGGAGGGTTGTGGCGTGAATGAGGGGAGATCTGATTTTTTATTGAATTTGGGAAGAATTTAGTGATTGGATCGCGAATAGAGATTATGTTTATGATTGATTGAAATTTCAATTTCACTTGTAAAATATAATAATAAAGGAGGGCATAACGGGAAGTTTACAAAAAAATTAACGGGGTTAACACTAAAATGTAACTTGGGGAGCGTCAGCTCGTCAAACCTTAATAGAAGGGGGTCTGACGCAATTTTTGAATTAGAAAGGGGAAACGCGCAGATTTAGTATAATACAGGGGGATTTGGTGCATTAAACCCTATAATAAAAAGGAATACTGTTAAATAGTGTAGTAGAATTGTTACAAAATTATATGAATTATTATTTTTTACAATATGGATTTAATATCTTTTTATGATTTGATAATATAAACAAATCTATACTTACTTTTGACTTTTCCAGTAAAGATAAAAAAATTGGGATTGATTTTTATCACATAACAAATCTTTAATGTCAAGTCTATAAATACCAAAACAAATATGTATTTAATATCATTCTATTTCCAACAAGCATTAATTACTTTTGACTTTTTTGGCTACTATTTCTAATAAATAAGATGCCTTTTTATATAAGTATAGATTCATTCTAAGTGGTCATAAACTTCAATTCCAATACAATAGTGGTCGATCCCAAACATAATAAGAAAGTAAATGAAGTTTTCCCAAGACATTCTCAAATGTCATCTCCCACGAATTCACTCCACACGTAGGTCAAATGAACAAATATATATATATATATATAGGTGAATGAGGCAAACTTTAGTTATGGTTTGCCAAGTCAAATGGATTGATCTCAATTTTCAACTAAAAAATCTTGGCTTGAACTAAAATGCGCATTTTTGCGCCTCAAATTGTCAAGCTGCCAGCCCAAAAGGCTATAAAAGGCCTTTGTAGGTTGCCCCCGCCGCCTGGACTTCCATTCCCATAAATACAGCAACTAAAGGTCTAAAATATGGAACTCCTGCCTGATTAACTAATCATATCAACCAATCAAAGTAATTAGTATGAACAAAAGAAAACTTTACTCGCACTTTAAAGATTTGGACCAGACTTCCACAGCAACTCCACATGAATAAGTAAATCATAATTGGACTCATTATTCCAATATATGATNTTATGTATATTTTACTAGTCGATATCCTAAAGATAACACAAATATTCTCAAGGGAATAAGCCAAAGAGCCAATCACTCATTAATTAACCCATACATACACTAGCTCGAAATTATTACAATTAATAGTCATCGAATAGGGTGACACCAAAACTGGCCTCTCCCAATTAAACCATTCCGAATGGTGAAAACTACAAATTTAACATCTTCTATATAATCACTTTACAACCCACAAAATAAAACAAAAGAAAAACAAATCCCAAAAAAAAAAAAAATTAACAGTGCCGATTCTCATAATTAAAGCGTTTGGAATAATAACACAAACATTTAATTTGTTATCACTTATCATCAGTCCTTGATCTTGGAGTAATAGGCCTTGAAAGCCTTGGGCATATAAACCGGCAACAGGAACCCGAACAGATTAAACCCCCAATACGCCAAATTGGCCGCGGCCAGCCCTCTCCCCACGGCCAGCCTCCGCACGCTGCCGGCCTCCGCCTTGGAGATCTCATTCCTCAGCCACTCCACGACGCTGAGCACCCTCATCGAGTTGTACACGACCGGCACCAGCACCCTCACCGGCAACGAGAACTCCGCCGCCGCCGCCACACCCTCCATGAAGATCTGACTGGCCAGCAGGAACACGTGAGGGGCGGCGGCCTTAATTCCCTCCCTGTCCCCCTCGTACACGCCCTCGCAGATGTACGCCGCCGGCAGGAAAAGCCCCACCACATACCCCACCAGGGAGTACGCCGTCAGAAGAGCGCCTCTGCCGCCGAAGACCGGCGGATCCCGGTCAGATCCGGCGAGTGGGAAGGCGACTCGGGAGATAAAGTAGAAGTAGAAGACGGAGAAGACCACGAAGGCCACGTCCTGGACGGTGACCATGCCGCTGGCGGAGAGGACCACGGCCACCGCGAGGGCGTTCAGAAGCCGGAGGGTGAGGAAGCTCCGGCCGCCGCCGGCGGAAGGGTGGGGAGCGTCCGGTTGGATGGGTATGTCGCTGGGTGGGCCAACGCCGCCTGACATTTCTTTGATTTACGGAAATTGATTTTTGAGTTTTGGTTTATTTGAGGGTGAAGAAGAAAGTGGGGGAGAGAGAGAGAGAGAGAGAGATTTTATGTGGGATTGTTGTGGTGGTAGGAGGCCGAAGGTACACGTGGCGGCCATTGAGGGAATTTGGTTTCCATGCGTGTCGTGTGAAGGCCAAAGGCCTCGGCAGCACTTGAGATCCTGTTTTCTCGTTACTTGATAAAAGAGAAAAGGTTAAAAACACATAACAGATTGAGCATATCCATAAGAGAACCAAATAACCAAGATTAGCATGTATACGTCGGTGCTTCGTAATGTTTTGTTTGTATCGAATGGAATAGTATCTATGCTAATTCACCAAGGTTGTTGGATTTATTAAAGTTGGAAAGTTTATTTCGATTAAATTTGATTTACTTTTCAATAGTAGTAATTATTATTATAATAATTTAGAGGAAAATGTTTTTTTTTCTTTGTTTCTTGATTTTACATATGAAACGAAATCTTAATGTATTTGAATGACAAATATTTTTTATTTTTTTATTTTATGGATCAGATTTTTGGATTGATAAATTGAAAAAACATTGGAAAAACTGATCGAATTGTTTATATTATTCAATTTACTGAATTTTAATTTTGGCAATTCGTCGTCTTGCTCATAGGATAACGATGATAATATGCTAATTATTCAAACTCTTTGTAAAAATAAAAAAAAACAAAGAAGTAATATCTCATCTTATTGCTAATAACATGATGGTCATCCAATAATTTCTCAATTAACAAAACCACCAAGCCTTCCAAGTTTGCTCTTGGGAAACTTTATCAATCGTAATCGAGAAGTTATTGATTGTGGGTTGTACAATGATTATATTTTAGATAATCAATTGTACAGAAGCATGCATAAAAGATGTTGCATTTGGAGTTCTTCAATCACGTTTTGGCTTTATAGCAGGACATATACGTTATTGGAAAAAATAAGTGATACATGATACAATAATCGCATGTTTAATTTTGCATACCATGATTGTCGAGTATGAACGTGACCTAAGTGCAACAATCAAAATTGAGATGGAAACGCCACCACAGGAGGTCGATATATCAATAGATAAAAAAAAGTCGATTTCAAGAATTTATGATCTTGGTACCAAAAAATTAGAAATAAAGATGATCACATTGCGCTTCGTAAAGCACTAATTGATCATTTGTGGGAGAAATATACAAATTCTGAGACATGAAAAACTATCATTTACTTGTACAAATAATTGTTTTATGTGTATCTCAATGTGCTTTATTTTGTAGCTTGTGCATTGAATTTTTAGTTTTAATTAATATTTACTTTTGATTTTCCTATGTATATAAATTATAACTTTATAAGTAGTTTTGTTACATAAATTCTCCATCGAATTTAAATTGATAGTATGGTGTAATTCGTAAAGTATTAAGATATGTGGGTAATATTGAAAAGTTGTAAAACTGAAGTAAAAGAAAATATTACGAGAATATTATTTTGAGTTTGTGATGCAGAATAGTATCTATTATTCTTGGTATTAGAATATTTGGTAGTTTAATTAGTATCTATTAATATTATTAGCATTTAATATTTATTTTTATTTATGTTTAGTCTTGGTGAGCATTGTTGATATCCGACCCGATGACAGAAGTTAAAGACGGAGATTAATCACATTATTGAAGAAATAATCCCTCAAGGAGATGAATTTACTGCAAGTCGGTATTTATTAGGAATAACTACCGACTTCTACATAGTTTCCGACTTCCGAAGGTCTTTAAAAAGAGCCGACATCCGAAATCAAGGCAAGTGAACCGACTTCAGTTCAACAAATATTACGACAAAATCAAGTTCTTCTACGTCAACCGACTACTACAAAGTCTGAATATTCCAACAGAAAGTAATCATTAGAAGCATCTGATTGGACCAACAAAACAAAAAGGCAATCATTGATGTTTTCCACCGCTTCAAGTAAAGCAGCTCAACATTAAATGCGTCTTTATCCATTTCAAGCAAGAAGACAAAAACCACCGTACTATAAATAGCTGAATTTATGATAGTACGGGGGGCTTTTCGAACACATTGTACACAGACTTATGATGATCTCGGTTTTCAGTACAAAACCGACTCCTGTACTCTTGTGAATATAACGAATAAAATAAAATAAAACGTTTATCTTCGTTTTCTTGACATCGACTGTATTGAATTTAGAGTTGTTAATTCAAGACAACAACAGTTTGGCGCTAGAAGGAGGGCCGCCTCCTACCCTTTCGGTTATTTTGTCTTGTATACAATATAATAAAAGGATGTCAAATTCTGGGCGAAATGAACGTAACCCAGATACTGGAATCAATCGTCACCCAACTCACACGACTGGAAATTCTGCTGTGCCATCTACATCAATTGATTATTCAGCTTTATTTCAAGATCCAGAGTTCTTGAAGAATTTAACTGATTTTATGGCACGGACAAGGATAGAACCAACCACAACGGTTAATCCACGAACTCATCCTGTACCAGCTCCGCCAAGGGATGAAATTCCTGCTGCGTCACATGCAACTTCTCATCCACGTACACATGAATCACAACATGATGTTACAACTCAAAACCACGGAGTAGTTCCTGTACAAACTCGAATTCCAGAAGCAGTACGGTCAGAAGCAAGTGCAGAAAGCCATTCTGGGCATCGACCAAGACAGCTTACTCCGTCATTACCAGAAATCTTACGACATGATCAACCCTCTGATTTACGACATACTCTTGAACAAAACCATACTCGTCGTGGGCAAAATGAGTTACGTCGATTAGTCGAAAGAAATCGTCTAAGACGCGAATCAGAGGAGCTAGAAATGTTGAGAAAAAGAATTGTTGAATTAGAAACTCGCCAAGACGAACAAGGAGAATCACCACGACGAATTCCAACGACAGACGAGATGAATCAAGAGGTTGGAACTCCTTTGGCCCCTCATTTGACTAGGGAGCCTATTCCAACTAAAGTAAAAGTTCCACAAATTGGCTTATATGATGGAACTTCTGATCCCGATGCTCATCTTGGTCAGTATACGTCTTGGATGGATCTTCATGGAGCAAATGAAGCACTCAGATGTCGAATGTTTTCTTTAACCTTGGGACCTCGAGCCCAAAAATGGTATCATTCTATATCTCGGTATTCAATTTCCACATGGCAGCAATTGAGAACGGTTTTTCGATCTCATTTTATTGGGGCCCGAGTTTCTTTAATTCCCAAAGAATCAATCGCAAATATTGTGCAAAAAGACGATGAAAGTGTAAAAGATTATATTACTCGGTTCAACGAACGCATACAAAATATGGAGCAATGCCATCCTGAAACGCTATTGGTCACAGCCATAGCCGGATTAAAGCCAAACTCGTTGTTCCGATGGAGTATATGTCAGAATAAACCAACCTCATTCCAAGACTTCCTAGCTCGGGCTCAACAGCATATTTTAGCCGAAGAATCAATGTCGATTCCTAATATCGACTTCTCCTCGACAAAGTCGAAAGTCGGTCGGGAGTCTAGAAAGAAGAAAAATAAATTCTTCAAACAAAATAAGTCTCGATTCGGGAACCCCAAAATACCAGAGGTGCAAGACGCAAGAACTAAATATCTTGATGAAATCAAATCTAGCTACCAGACGGTGTTCTCGGCAGGAGCAGCAACCATATTTGAAGAATTAAAAGGGAAAGGGATTCTTCCTGACCCTCGACCTGTCAGAACACCTGAAGACCGACTTGACAAAACAAAATATTGTTCATATCACAAGTCGGCGGGCCATAATACTGATGAATGTCTCAGTTTACTCTCCGCTTTATTGCGACTCATTGGACATCCTCAAGTCCAAAGGTTTGCTAAAAATGCTGATTACAAACGAAAAGGAAGAATGTCAGATTTACCAGATGATGACGACGATGAGGGACATCCAATTAATCCAAAACGGATGAGGCCAAGTGATAAAGAAATATACATGATGAACCAAGAAGAAAGTGATTTGATGACCAAACGAGGAGGATACTATAATCCTGATAATTCTCATCACATTACTCGGGTCAATAACAGTAGCAATGTAGCGTTCGAATCGCGGCGGCAAATAAAAGCATATGCTCGAAAAGCTTTCAATTCGGGTAAAACTGTTTTGACGACCGACCTCCGAGATAAAATTAATGCTCGAAATAATTGTCCCATAACGTTCAATGTGGATGATGCTAGTTACTTCGCTCACCCCCATTTGCTGATCCTCTAATAATGATGGTAGTGGACACAGGAGCATATTCAAGTATCATGATGTTACGCACGTTCGAACAAATGGGAATTGATCCAGCCGAGTTGAAACCCTGCAAGGATCAAGTACAAGGCTTTAATGGAACAATTACATCGACCCTTGGTGAAATTACAATGCCAATTCGGTTTGGAATCCCTGGACAAGCTTCCAAAGTTATTATGGAAACATTTAAGGTGATGGATCTTAAAAATCAATATAATGCCATCATTGGAAGGACAGCTCTGTATAAGCTTCGTGCCGCTGTCTCGATCTTCCATTATGCTTTAAAATTTCCTACCAACAATGGAGAAGGAACTCATTATGGGGATCAATATGAAGCTCGTGGAATGGTATGGGTCAAACCTTGGCACGAACCATGTACACCAATACACATGATGGAGAATATCGAAGAAAGCCAAGAAGATTCAACTCTTGTCAACTCGGAATCATGTAACACCGAGATGGAACTTGACCCAGCGAAATCAAATAATGATCTGGTTTGTGATCGTGGAAGACGTCCTGGAAAAGAACCAATTAAAGAAGAAGATGAACTTGATCCTCGAACTCAATTCAAAGAGAAAAGCAAACTCGAACGAGCTGAACCATCAGAAGAAGTTGAAGTAATATTCATTGATGATCCTGTTTGTCACAAGTCGGTGCAAATTGGGGCCAATCTTCAAGAACCAATGCGAACTCGGCTCATTCAGTTCCTC